CCAATGAAAGTCCATTTCTGCTCACTAATGCCTAGGATATTGATCTTTATGCATTCCACTTTATTTATTTTCCACTTTATTTTTTACAACTTGCAATTTTCTTAGAGTCATACTTCATACATTTCATGTTATTTTTATTCATGGATGTTTATATCTGTTTCTCTTCATTTTGAGTTGTACTCCATCAGCAAATGAAGGTGCTGAAAGCTTTACTCCATTCACATCATGGTCAGATCTATTTTGAGAAGGCAGCCTTCCCCAGTCATATTTTGAGTGCCTTCCAACCTGAAGGGCTCATCTTGCAGCATCATATCTGGCAATATTCTGGTACTGCTCATAGTGTTTTCATTTTCTGGTACTATACCTGACAATGCTCTACTGCTATTCATAAAGTTTTCAGTGGCTTCATATTCAGAAGTGGTTTGACCCTCCTTCTTCCTAGTCTGTCTTAGTCTGGAAGCTCTGAAACCTGTCCAGCATGGTGACCCTGCTGATATTGAAAATACCAGTGGTATAGCTCTCTGCATCATAGCAACACACAAGCCACCACAATATGACAAACTGAGAGATGAGTAGTAGAAACATTAAGGTTAGAAGTAACCAGTTTCATATACCATCTGTCAGTTTGGCTATATTTTTTCTCCAGCCTTGTTTATCTGAAATAATGCTACTGTGGAGTGATGGTGGTTGTTGGGTAGCACTGACACCAATTTGTAGTGGTCCTGGGTAACAGAGTAGAATGGATTTCTTGACCTGAATTTTTATGTGTTTTTTGAAACTTTTAATTGTAAATTTATTGAAGGTTTATAGACAAGATCATCAGTTTTACAATCAACAAATTATACATTTTGCTTCATCTCAATGATTGCAACCCCCTCTGTGTAACCACAGTTATTCCACATCCCCACATGGTTCTGATTTCCATTCCACTCTCCTTCCTAACCCTTCTGAACTTTGTCCTTAGGGAAACGTTGCTCTTTTGATCTTGTTTATACATATATTATGCATACATGGCATGGTGAGTATCCCTTACTATTGTTGTTGCACCCCCCTTTACCTATATACCACTTAGCTAAATATTGTACCACATGGATGAGTTCCACTCCAGACCTGAAGGGTGGCCGAGGGTTGTAGTCTTGGTGTCTGTCCCCTAGTCTCTTTCTGACCAGTAAGCTGGGTCATTTTTATAATTTTAAGTTTTGTTCTGCATTTTCTCCCACTCTTTCTGGAACCTTCTAATGTGATCCCTTTCAGAACAGTTGGTAATGTTAGCCAGGCACCAACTAGTTCTTCTGGTCTCAAAGCTATGGAGACTGATGTTCACGTGTTCCATTAGTCCATTAGACTATTTGTTTCCAAGCATATTTAATTTTCATCATTCTTCTTTCTTCTGCAAGAGACGGATAATGCACCTTGTATGTTCACTCATGAGCTTTTAATGTCCCAGTTGTCACTCACCAAAGTAAGATGTAGAACATCGCCTTTGGGGACTATGCTATGCCAATTGACCATGGTATCCCCTGAAACTGTAGTCCTGAGTCCCCGTTCCCAGCAACTCATTGCTTCAAGGTATTTGGTAATATCTCTGTTTTCATCATTTTATCCCCTGTATGTACCACCACATTCATAGGTGTGTTTATAGCAAAGGTCCATACCCAATACACATAATCCTCTTTAAAACCCTTATGTATTTGTGAGTATACTCCCAGTCTCCCTCTTATACCCATTCAGCATGTGTATCTGTCCTTGTATCTACCCACAGAACATTGCTCTTGCAGGATTTGTGGTATATAATGAGTTTTACTTACATAGCCGTTAGCCCTTGTATACCTCCCTATGTCTTCACGTCTTCATCATTCCTCTGCCAACCTCCCTCTTGTTGTATGTTGTCTTCCCTGGCACCCAAGTTAACACATGTCTACCCTCTAGCCAGTGAATTATTCTCCCTTTCATCTCAGCCTGGTAATCATCAAAAAATGTTTCTTTTAGTATGAAAACCTTTTCTTGAGTATTTACAATAGTGGTCTCATACAATATTTGTCCTTTTGTGATTGACTTAATTTTACTCAACATAGTGTACTCCAGATTAATCCCTGTTTTGAGATGTTTCACAGATTCATCATTATTCATCAGCATTGTGTAGTATTCCATTGTGCATATGTATTAAAGTTTATTCTTCCATTGCTGGGCATTTAGGCTGTCTCCATCCTTTTGCTAATGTGAATAATGCAATGAATATGGATACGCATATGTTTACTCATGTCATGGCGCTTATTTCTTGGAGATACGTACCAAATAAATTGTTTCTCCAAGATATGGTATTGCTATTTCCAAATTTTTGAAGACGTGCTACACCATTTTCCACAGTGGTTGCACCATTTTACAGTCCCATCATTGGCTGGAATCTTTACAGAATCAGACCACAGTCTTTCTTCCATGGATTCAAAGCACCAATTTCTCAGTTAGAAGCTGAGCATTTCACTGTTTGTACTGCGGTGGCTTCTTATGGTGTGCTCAGCATGCTGAATATAAGAGAAAGGGAAGATGGAATTAAAGGAGTGTGGAAAGGACTGATTATAATAATTGTCCATGGATGAATTTAAGCTGAATAAAGAGGAGTCTGAGTTCTTGACGAGGTTGAAGGAGAATGAAACAAGGGTAGGATCAATGGATTGCAGGCTGCAGTGGGGGTGAAGTATGTTGGTGCCAGAGGAAGTAATTTGGAAAGATAGGAGTTAGTGGTTGAAATGTGAGGTACTTGTAATTAAGACAAGGAGATGGGTTATAGTTATTGATAATGACAAGTTTAAAGATATGGCTGGACGAGTGAGTAGCTGAGGTGAAAGGGAATACTGTGATTAATTATGAATAGTTGTGTTAAAAGGATCATGTTATTTTTGGAAAAAAAACCCTAACACGTTGCCACTTACTTTAAAATACATTTAAAGCATTATTAATGATGAAAATAACACTTTCTAAGCAGCATTTACTTTTCCTGATATTAAATCTAAACCTAAAATGCTATCATCTTTTATATTAGAATACTGAAATTGTTGTGGATATAGAAAGACTGGAAAAGAAGTTTGAGGAATTGTCTAAAACTGAGATAGAGCATCAAGTAAGTGCCTCCAAATAACTGATAAAATAGTTTTCTTCTTTTGAACCAATGTGTTTACTGTTCTGTTGAACCAATAAGGTCTGTATGACTCACTGACATGTGGCTTTTAGCTATGAAGTCTTACATTTGTGCTTCTCAAAAATTTTGAACTATATAGCAGGCATTTTCTTTTTTAAGTAACAGCCTTTCTGTGATATAATCTGTATGCCATAAAGTTCACTCATTAAAATCAGTGGGTTGGGGTATATTCACAGTGTGTAACCATCATTACAATCAAATTTAGAACAGTTTCATCAACACCGTCCCCACAAAATCCCCATACCCATATATGCAGTTGTTCCCTGATTCTCCAAATTCTTTCCTCTAAGCAACCATTAATCTGCTTTGTGTCTATGGATGTGTCTATTCTGGAATTGTAAACATGGCCTTTTGTGACAGCCATTTTCACTTGGCATCATGTTTTCAAGGTTCATAAATGATGTTGTACTTCATTTGATTTTGTGCCAAATATTCCATTGTATGAATATACCATATTTATCCATTAATTCATTGATGGGCATGTGGATTGTTTTCCCTTTAGGGATTTTATGAATAATGTTTTTATGGACATTTGTGTACAAGCTTTTGTGTGGGCATGCATTTTCATTTCTATTCATTTATATACCTAGGAGTAGACTTGCAGGATCTTATGGTAACTCTTTTGTTTTTTAAATCTTTTGAAGAACTTCCAGACTCTTTTCCAAAGTGACAATTTGATATTCCCATCAACTATGAATGTGGGTTCAAATTTCTTCACATCCTTGCTCATTATTATTTAGTACTCATTATTTTTTTATTAGAAAGAAACATTTTAATTTATCTGTATTTAATTTTTCAAATTCCTAATGTGGAAATATTTCAGGCATTGTAACTTCTTGAGGCAGAAAGTGAGAAGAGATGGGAAAAATCTATCCTTGATTGAATGTAGGAATAATGCTTTCCAAAAATATTTTATTACATTGCATCTAAAAAAGTCTGTATTTATATTATATATCAGAGGTTCTTTAAAAAAAATTTTTTTTATGTTCTTATAACATTCTTTATTTTGTTTGTTTAAAATATTTCATAAATATATTTACTAACTTTGGGCCTAAGCACTTACACTGTACCAATAGGAAGAGACTCAAAACCAGTGAAGCATGCAGGACCAGTATTACTCAGTTTCTGTTTTAACTTTTTATTGTGAATTAAGTGATAGTTTACATAGGAGAACATCAGTTTTATACTCATCCTATTTACAGTGATTACAATCCCCTTCAAACATCATCATTCAACAGTATTTGCTTCTATTCTGTTGGGGTTTTTTTTGTTTTGTTTTGTTTTTTTGGACGTACATGTGCACAAAAATACTCAGGAGTATATAATCATTTAAACAACCAACCAAGGGTACATTCTGCAAACCTGCCTGCTGGCTGGTAGCACACAGCCTTTCTCTTTCCATGAGTATATAGTCCTCAGCTGCTTTATCTCTCCAGGTCCTTATCTCTGCTTCCATCTCTGGTGTTGCTGCTTCTGGGATAGGGTCCCACATTCCACTCATGCTCTTCTCCCTTGATGATCCTAGGGTCCTCTATTCCTGGACTGTAAGATTAACTACTCCCCCTTTTTTGTTACAAAACTTCTACCTTTACAGTTGTGACACTTAAGTTAGTCATGACAACAATTACTCACTATTGATTCATATCCCTATCTCCATTCACCAGACCTGTCTAGACAAGATGAAAACTACTCAATGGGGAATTGTACCTCCCCTGCACACTCTGAAACTAAACTCCCTCTTGAAAACTTGTAAGCCCATCACTCTGTGCCTTTATAGCCCCACCATTTTAGGTAACCAATGTCTAAGTTGTTTGTCCCTATCTATCCTACATACGGGTAGGGGGGGTAGGACTGATCCTTGATGTGAAGACTCCTTCGCACTCAGTTGGTGTTTTGAGCTGCTGCATCCATAAATATAGGTCAAGTTCATCATATTGTAGCAATTTACATTTGTTTCCTTTATCACAATTTTTTTTATCTTCTTGTAATTGAGTTCTCCACCACTTGTCTGTCAGTTTGTTATACTGTGGTAGCTTGTGATTTGCTGTGATTCCGGAAGCTATGCTATGTGTATTTAAAAATACTAGCAGGGTGACCCACGTTGGACAGGTTTCAGATGAGCTTCTAGACAAAGACAAACTAGGAAGGAGAGACCAACTACTTCTGAATATTTAGTCACTGAAAACCTTATGACTAACACAGAAACACTGCCAGATATAGTGCCAGAAAATGAGCCCCTCAGGTTGGAAGGCACTCAAAACTGGGGAAGAGCTGCCTTCTCAAAGTATAGTAGACCGTGATGACATGAATGGAGTAAAGTCCTCAGGAGGAAAGCCCTTGGGATCTTCATTTGCTGATGGGGCACAACTCAAAATGAAGAGAAACAGCTGTAAACATCCATAAATAATCGGAACATGGAATGTATGAAGTATGAATCTAAGAAAAGTGGAAACTGTCAAAAATGAAATGGAATGCATAAACATTGATATCTTAGGTATTAGTGAGCTGAAATGGACTGGTATTGGCCATTTTGAATCTGATGATGACATGGTTTACTTATGCCGGAAATGACAAACTGAAGAGGAATGGTGTTGCATACGTTGTCAAAAAGAACATCTCAAGTTCTGTGATGAGGTACAATGCTGTCTGTGATGGGATAATATGCATGCACCTACAGGGAAGACCAGTTAATACCACTATTATTCAAATTTATGCACCAACCACTAAAACCAGTCAGGATGAAATTAAAGAATTCTACCAACTTCTTCAATCTGATATTGATCAAACGTAATCAAGATATGTTGATAATCACTGGTGATTGGAATGCAAAACTTGGAAACAAAGAGGAGGGATTGGAGGTTGGAAAATATGGCTTTGGTGATAGAAAAGTGCTGGAGATTGCATGATACGATTCTGCAAAACCAATGATAGTTCATTTCAAATACCGTTTTTAAACAGCATAAGAGACAACTGTACACATGGATGTCAACAGATGGAATACACAAAAATCAGATTGACTACATCTGTGGAAAGTGGCGGTGGAAAAGCTCCATATCATCAGCTATAGTTAGGTCAGGGGAAGATTGTGGAACAGACCATCAATTGCTCATATGCAAATTCAGACTGAAGCTGAAGAAAATGAAAACAAGTCCATGAGAGCTAAAATATGACCTTGAATATATCCCACCTGAATTTAGAGATCATCTGAAGAACAGATTTGATACATAAGACACTAAAGTCCGAAGACCAGAAGAGTTGTGGGATGACATTAAGAACATCGCACAGGAGAAAGTAAAAAGTCAATAAGAAGACAAGAAAGAAAGTAAAGATCAAAATGGATGTCAGCAGTGACTCTGAAACGTATTCTCAGCGT